TTCACAAGAGTCTTTCAAACTAAAATTAGTAGTCAACTCTTGTTTGTCAAGTAGTAGGAATTTCTAGTATGAACATAAAAGCCATCCACTCATATCTATTCAAAATTTTATTCTTACCCTTATTCTAATCCATGCTACTCTAGCATCAGCAACATTGTGAGTAGCCATTATAAACAAACGAACTGAAGTGAAACGAACAAAAGTTATGAGAGAAAGAGTAACAAAAACTTTTCTAGGAACAAGCTCATTTCCTGTAGTACTAACGTAGACTGCAAATGTCAGAAACATGATCATGGCATTCAATGCAGTTTTGTAGGTATGACTGACTGACAAACACAGAAAATACTTCAAGACTATGAATAACTCAGTTCTGTCAAAGGAAGTTATGTATAATACAATCATTAACTTTTATTATTATAGCTCTATGGTAATTACCTTCTTATAGTAGCTACTATGTCTTTGAAAGCATATTCCCAGGCATACATTTTGATGACTCTTATTCCACTAATTACTTCATTCATAACTTTAATTCTTCTGTCAGCCATTCTAGCAGCTTTAAATCTATGAAAAAATACTATGAAATGATTTTAAATTGCATATAAATTAAACCTTAGCTTAGAGAAAAATTTCAAAACTGTCAGGTGTAGAGGAATTTGAAAAACAAGCAAGGCAGTAGCTACAAAGGCACTCCATTGCACTTCTATGTACAAGAGATAAGTTACAACCATAACATGTAGCGGACCAATCCATATAAAATGATATCTAGCAAAGGCCTATGTGATACAATAAATCAATAGAAAATAAACAGCATTGGTCATACTTCATCAAATTTATGCACATCATTGGAAGCAAGATTCACAATGTGTCCAACTGAAAGTTTTCCCACAGTAGCCTGACTAAGTTGCAGTGTCTATGAAATACAAGTATTAACAACTTTGTAAAATTTAAAGAGCAAAATATAAAATTAAAGTGACTTATTTTGCAGGAGATTGCATATCCTTGAAACAAGAGTTTTAGTTGGTTTGTTTCGTTAAGTGGGTAATTTATTATTGAGGATTGATAACAACTTAAGCCCAATATGCACTATGCAATATTTGTTGCAAACAACTTGTTGCATGTAACACAGTTATACAGCAGTCAATGGAGCTTGCAACATGTTGCATGAAATAGGAAACAGTTCTATTTCATGCAACTTGTTGCAATGCATTGATGCTGTATAAACTGTTTGCATGCAACAAGTTGTTTGCAACAAAGTTAATCTTGCATAGTGTATGTTGGGCTTAAGTAGCTGTTACTGCTTTATAAGGAAGGTAAGACAAATTTGCAATCTTACTCTTGTTGCAATGGTAGTGCAACCTCCTGTATATTGAGTACCTTTTTATAAATCAATCCAGTAAACATTATTTTAGTATAAAAGCCAGTCAAGAAGCCCTGGTGAAAGTGATGGGCATGAAAAAACATGTTACCCAATGCAGACAGAGTAATTCCCATTGCAAAAAGTAGAGCCATTTTCGTATTGTCTGGTGTAGGTGATTCAATGACGAAGTAATCAACCAGTGATCCCAATAGCTCTGATAGAGTTATCATGCAGGCCACCTATATAATGGTCATATCAGAGCTTGAATTGAAAAGTAACAATTAGTACATTAAATGAAATAAGTACTCCATGAAGTATTACTTTCCACCAGAAGCACTTAAGCCATGCAATAAATAATCTTGGAGACTGTCCACGTTCTTTTCGCTGCAATTCCATCAACCAATATCTATAACAATGCAAAACAGTGTCACTATATGCAAGCATAAGACTTACTTGTTGAATTTGTTTAAGAGGTAGTTGGAGTCCGCTTCTGATGGATGAGCATACAGGTCATTGAACTCAAGGCTACGTTTACTGCCCAGGCAAAATAATGGGTCGACCCAACTATATAGCCAACATAAAATGAAAGTAATTAATGGAAAAACTCTTACCAAAAGAATAATCGAAAGAGGAGATTATATTTGAATTTAGTTCTGTAGTCCTTTGCTTGTTGAGTGGCAGATACCTGAGGAGTCCATTTTGCTCTCACTCTGTCTGTCATTTTTGGCTGTATGCTACAGATTGATTCTGACTTAAGTCAGTGATAGTAGATAGCAGACTATCTCTCACAAGCAGGGATAGTCTGAACCTGCTTAAATAGATCATGATTTCAAAGACTAATTCCGCTTGTGAAATCATCTATTAATCTGACTGCTTGATTTGACTGATGAGTAATCACATCAGTTATGCAGAACAGCATATTACCACTGATGAATCATAAGGAAGGATATCCCGTAGTCAAAGGATGTGGGAACTAAGAAGCCAATGAAATGGGCACCTTTAATAGTCCATAGATTGTTTGCATTGTGGGTTATTTAGGTCATTAATAGTTTCCACTACACTGGGCAACAGTGTTGCTTTGATCTTAACAAAGATATGAAACAGTCTTTAAACCAACATCTTGTGGTTTTTCATTAATTATACAAAGCCAATGGTCAATTACATTGCAATTAATTTACTTGTTATTGTGGTATATAAGTAAATACATTATTAATAGTATGTGATGTAATCTTGTGGTTTTGTATACATTACATTTAGTCATGTATTGTGTGGTTTTGGTTCATACATGATATACACACAGCACATGCTCAGTTCATTTTTTTGTCCATTCTTTCCTTTTATGTTAGCCTGTGTTGTTTTCTATCTATGCCTCTTTATTGAGTTGTACTCCTTTGTTGTAATTGATTTATTTGATTGATTATCACTTCGTTTGCTAATCAGAATAATACTAACAATAATTACAATTAAGGCTTAAGGATCATAATGTATTTGAGAAATTGAGTTGCCATAGTGTACTGACTACCGAATCAATCAATACAGACAAATGAGAAATATTCTCAATCTACTTCAGCAGCCATTTTGCATTATGTACATGAACTGTATACATAATGGATGTGTGACAAGTTCATGAATTGTACCGATTAGCTTGCTCAGTAGCGTAGTCAGACCCATCCCCCTTTTCACATTGCATGGCCGTCCAAATATCAAAAAGGGAGATGGGTCTGGCTACACAAGACTACAGTAGAGCTTTGTAGAAAACACAGACCCATGGTATTTTGTCTAAAATGGTTAGAAAAGAATTTTCTGTTTTAATATTGTTTTCTGATACATACATACATTTCCTTATTTAGTGTATCAACTTTGAGTCAAATTTTGATTTTTATGAAGCATGCTGTTTAGCTCACTTAGAATCCTTTCTGGGAAACTCTGCATCAGAGATCCACTACATAAAGCCAAATTATATTTAATGTAAAATCAAAGTACAAATCACATTTAGGATGACAATAAGGACTGAATCTAAAAAGTTATGAAGCCTTAAATATTAGTGGAACTTATGCTAAATAAAGTGGTTCATTAACTATTTGATTTTACTGTTATCATTTTTCTCTTCCTGGACTTATTCTGGAGTTTTGTTCCATCCAACCCTTTTTGATATGCATCAAATGCCATGCTTCTCAACCACTTTGCATTAGCTGATCCACTTTTATTTACTAGCATACAAAGATAAGATGATGGTTGATTGACAAGAAGGTGAGGAGAACCATATTCAATTAGCAATCCTGAGTCCAATATCTAGCAAGATTCATAATTTTATTTTTGTTACTATAACAAGATGCATACCATAATTTTATCAGAGTCCATGACAGTGTTGAGTCTATGGGCAACTGTCAGTACAGTACAGGAGGAAAAT